CTTTGGCGATTGAACGGCAAATTCAGCACCAAATCAAATCAATTCTAGTTTCCAGCGGTTAGTTTTTGACATAAGCTTCAAATCCATGTTGTTCTTCAACAATTCCATTGTAGTTTAGGCTCGATTTTATTTATACTGTTGATTTCAGTATCATTGTGTGCATCGTTACTGTTTGGACATATTTAAATTAAGTTATGACTTAGTTATATACGGCTATGTTAGAATTTGGATTGAATTTGAATATTCTCAAAAATAGATCTAAATTTGGCTTTTAATTATAATTAAAAGATGGTTTGATTCTATATTCAATCCATATGTGTCATGTTTTTTGTGTTGAATCAAGTAGTTTTACATTCCTAGGTGATTGGACAATAGGGTAAAAAATGTCTCATAGCCCACTAGATTAGGATACAAGGAAGAAAATGCTGATTCTGCTCTGGTAACCTACAATCAAATAATATTTTGCTAGATTGTATACCATTAAGTTGGGTTCTTGTTAGGAAAAGCCTAAGATAGCTTATAAAAAATATGAAACAGAATATGGGTGGAGTGTTTTTTTTGTGCAATGCTTTGGTTTAATTTTACTATCATGGAATTTGGGGTGGGCACTCTTACAATGAGCTTTATAACTAACTTTGGAGATTTATAACTTTGATTTTGGATATCACCATATTTCTCAATAAATAATTTCTTACTTCTATGATGTGGTTATGAATGTTTTGTAATTTGGAAAGTTTCTCAACCTATTGATGGGAGTTCATCACCCATCTTAAAGGTTTTCAAATTTTCAAAACATTGTCTTGATTGATTTTCATGGTTGGTTAATTGGTTGTTATTAATTATTTGTGTTATTGTCAAAGAGTTATTCTTTTGTCAAGGGTGCACTACCTTGGCAACCTACAGATTCTAATGTCTTTCAAGGTAGAGAAATCAGAACACATGAGCCAAGTAATCTGACTCAGCCATGTTCCTCGAAGAGATGCAGATCAGAATAGGCTCATCATTTGTCTGAAAAGGTTTAATTTTTCTTAAATTTCTATTTTGTTTTTGGATTTATAAATATGTGATATCTAAATTAGAAGTAATTAACCCCTTTGCACAGAGAAGGAGTCGGATTAATGAGAAACTGAAAGCATTACAGACCTTGATTCCAAATTCTATTAAAGTATATATTTTCATGCTCAATTCTTTTTTTAATTAAAATTTCCCATCTCCAAGTGTTCTTACTTATCTTCTTCTAATTCTTAATTTGATTTTTAGTTTTGTATGATAGAGAGACAAGGCATCAATGCTTGACGAAGCTATTGAATACTTGAAGCATCTTCAATTATAGGTGCAGGTGTTATATGTACTGTTACTTTGGTTGTATCATTCATTACTCATTACCACCGTTATTATAGAAAGTGTTTGCTTACTATAATAGCCAAAAAAGTTCACGGGCGTTCTAGTACTAGTTGGAGTTTTGATATTTGCTTGGTATTGCTGGTCCAGATTCTACTCATCATGGATAGTATGCCTAAGCTCATAATGGATATTGATTGATGAAGCTTCATCTTTTCTCTGGCACGGGTAAGGAACTTATCCAAAATATTGTACCAGTGCAGCTCAAAAATTCAATTAACGTCGAGCCTGAAGCCTCCAAGCACAAGTTACGATCTGCCTCGAGTGAGATTCAGATCTCCCATTTCTCGAATCTAGAATCTAACTTCAATATATATATGGATGGAGATATATCTTCAGGTAGAATAAATATTTCATTTGAAGACCAGCGAATGAAGCTTTGTGACGAGGCAAATAGTACAATATCTTCAATCACAAGCGAACGTCCATAGAAAGTTTCAAACAAAAGCAAACACAAGGTAGCTGCTTGGTCACTACAGATACCCAGATTTCACACCTTCATTTTTATACTATTCTTAATTTC